CAAAAGTAGGCAAAACTTATTGATTGCAGTATAACTCATAGCTGCACTTACCTTTGGTGAGGGTGCTGGTTGGTGACTGTGTGGGACACCAGGGAGCCCTGGGTGCTGATAATATCACGTTTATTCATCTGGAGGTGATTCCATGGATCTGTTCACTTTGAGAAATGAACTATACATTTACTATTGGTGTAATCTTCTCAATGTGTGTCTTTGATACTAATTTTAGTTTGTAAAATTATAATAGATGAGCAAAAAATAATAATGTAACTATCAGGTGTGGGATGAGAAAGTGGATAGCAGTGAGCTGAGTTCTCACTTTTCATGTCAAGTTGCTTTTTAGGTTTTGTCTTAATATGATAAGTCAAGCAGTAGAAGTGAAATCTCATGATCTAAAATATTGGTGATAATCAGAAGAAGACCTAAAAGAAACAATTTTGAAAGTTTGCCTTTGGGGAGTGGGATGGGGATGATGGGAAGGGCTTGGGACTGAACTGTTCCTAAATTTTCTAAGCTACTTGCTTATGATTATAAAACTTTTTAAAGAAATTATCAAACCGCCAGAGGTTCATTTGGGTTCCATAAATATTTATGGCACACTAAAATTATGCCAGGCGCTGTGCTAGGTGCTAGGGAAACAAAGATGACTAAGATATGATGCTTTCCTTCGAGGAGTTCACAGTTGAGTAATGGAAATAGGTACTCAGGCAGATGATGTTCTTTCTTTTTCCATTTTAACTTTTCCTATTATAGTGCGCATTTCGAAAGAACTGGAAAATCTACATAAAAATAAAATTACATATAATCCCATCACCAAAGGATATTCTTTTCAGTCTTTTCATACATTTATTTCCCTATTTTCTAAGAGATTTATATCAACTACACATATCATTTTTGTCACCAAACAAAATATATTGAGAACATTTTCCCATGTCTTTTAAAATTCCTCTCTCATATTTATTAATGGCTGCCTGATGAGTGAGCCCCCAGTGTCGGGACCATCAGCTCAGCCTCAGAGGTTAGATATAGCTTTCTAGTGAAGAGGACTCATCACTCAGGACATGTCCAGTTTAAATGAGGCATTGTTACCACGGAAGAGGTAGAGTGAAACTCTTAACAGCCAAGGCTTTCCTTGGGTCCTCTTATCCTATATATATACTACCCTGACGTGATGTTATTCGACCCACAAATTCGCTGTTTTTAAGGTGTCTTTACACTGCCATTTCAATTCATCATTTAGAAAATTGTTCTCACTCTCTATTCTCCCTGCCATCTGCCACTCACAACCCAGTGTACTTATAGCAAGGACTGGAAAATTCCAAGGCAATAAGTAGGTGAGAGAGAGGAGTAGGGCAGCTAAGATTACCCGAAGCCTGAGCTCTGGTCTCCTTTTATAGCAGAAGAGCACAGTCCCTCTGTAGACGCTGAAGGCGCTGCAAAGTAGTTGACTAAAGAAACCAGAAATGATGATCTTAGGACAGCAAGGTTGCCCAAAATCCAAAGAAAGAGGTGGTGGGGAGGGAGAGAGAGAGAGAGAGAGGAGGGGAAGGAAGGAGGAGGGAAAAAAGGGGGGAAGGAAAGGAAAGATAAAGAAAAAAGGGAAAGAGAAAGCCAGGCAACCTATAAGAATGCATTTTCATTTGAGGTCTGTTTACTTTTCATGTCAGATCCTGAGTGTTGAGCCTCCTCTGAAAACCTGATATTAACATGATCTTTTACAAAATGCATTCTATACAAAACTCTTCCGCAAAGAAAAAGAACCTCCCACAGACTCAGCAGTAGGCCTAGCATGCTACTTTAAGAATTATATACATCAAATTTGCTAGGAATAAAAAGGAAAAGTGAAGGATAATTTCCAGACTGACCTGGATATAGAAGTTCTTCAGTCAAAGTTTCATAGTAGATGGAATGATTTGGCCTGACAGTCACAAACACTCTTCGCCAGTGTGAAAATGATAACCAGTGACAGAGAGGCAATAATAACTTTGGAAAACTGAAAAACTACGAGAGCTAGGGTTGTATTTTTTGAACTACTTAAATTAGAAGTATTCTCCTATGCTGAAATGAGACTTTGAAATTATGATGACTCAGACATAGACTAGGGCTTTCCAACAACACTTATGAATGCTACAATGAATCCAGTAATTCATTTTATTGATAATGTACAATTAGAATGCTAAATGATCTGAACATATTACTTCTCTTACCTTAAGCGCTTTACACACATTATAATTAAGCAATGTTAAAATCATACACTTAATTAAGGAAAGCAGTGTTAAAATAAATGAAATAAAATTGTTCTCAGTACTCAGTTTAAACGCCATAAATGATTATTACTACATACTTTCTACAGATGGTGGGGCTTCCAAACACTGAGCCCATAAGTATATTAACAGCCTGAAATCAGTGTTTAATTCCTTGGACTTGGAGCAGAATCAGTTCTTTTCTTTGCTGAGTGTTTATTGTAAATAGAGGTCTCCCCTTCCAAATAAAATATTTAAGCGGCAGAACAGTTGTGCTTCTAAAACCATACAGAAGAATGAGCCTCTACTTAGAACCTGCCAATAAGCGTTCAACATTTAGTTGTTAAGCAATATGCGTTTTTCTTGGTATATTTTTAACCCTTTGGAAGACATTTCATTTTTGAACATTTAGGAAGAATCTGCACCTATGTGTGCTTGCATGTAGCAGGCATTTCTTGAATATTTCTTGAATTTCCTCCATCAAGAAGTTATTTCCACAAAGAACCACTCAATTATTTGACAGGTTGCTGGAAAACCTTAAATCTGGGTTCCTCCCGCGTATTTTACACCACTGAGCATCCTGGAAATTCATAGCACTTTTCACTTTCATGGGAAAAATTAACATAAATTGAGCACCCACACGCAATTAAAATCACTTTTAAAAAGATATTTTAACTCTTTAAATCCTGAAATAACTCTATGAGTAAGGTACTGTTATGCCCATATACATATAAGGGAACCACGCAAGGGAATTACATATCTCGCCTGGTTTACAAAATTAGAAGTGGTAAAGCCAGAATTCAATCTAATGGTGTCTGATTCCGAAGTCCATATTTCCTCTGCAACATTATATTGCCTCCTGTATATAGACCCTAAGTTTAACCCTATTCTAGTAACTTCTCCAAAATATTGAGGCCTTCTTTATTATGGGGTGACTTCATTGGCATGGTGACCGTATTTTCCATAGAGAAATGATGATGTATACCCTGATAAAGAATTTTAACTCCAGTGTTAGATTAGGCTGAAATTAGTATAACAAAAGTTGATATTTCTGGTAAATGTAACCAAAAGAAAGAATTCGAGCTGGGGCTATCTTGGAATATTCAGGAGGATGGATGTAACAATAGGTTGACACATTTGCACTAATTATCAATTCTGGTGCTAAGAAACTTTTAACATAGTCCTTGGACGCTGAGATTTGGCCACAGGGACGTTTATGACAGGTCTTAAGAGACAAACTAGAAATGTTTAGTTTTTTTTTTTTTTTTAACTAAAAACTACTGAAACCAGTGAACTACTGAAACCCAACCCCTGAGCTTCTTACCTCCTTGCCAGTCCCATGGGGATCAGGGCTGAAATCTGAATATCACAGAGAGTTGATCTGTCCATAAGTGTGGGCACACTTGGGCCTTTCTCTTTCCCAGTTTCACAAACCCAGGTGGGTCCAAGGCCTTCTCGGGCTACTTGCTGGTGTCTGCTAGGCCATTCCCGTAGTTTGACCAACAACTACTGTTTAGTGCGAAATCCTCACATCTTTTCTGACTTTGAGATACTTGACCACTCCCCACAGCAGGTGACTCCTTGGGAGGTGAAGTCCATCTGCTCGCTCACTCTATATTTTTCCAGGAGAAAATCCATCCCTAATCCCCATCCGCTCTGGAATTCTGGTGAACAAAGCCTGCTCTCTCATTACACTCTGGTGGTGCTTTTGGGAGCGGAAAACTGACCAAGAAATCTCACTGAAACAGGAGTCACATGTTCGTGTACCACCCGGCTCTTCTCAGAAGGGTGGCAAGGACTCTGAGCAGAATACCTGAATTCTTTGTTTCTTGAATGGTCTCAGTATTCCTATTATCTATGTCCCTTAAAATTAAAGTGACTAGAGAGCTGGGGTGGTGTTATCTTGGCTTCAGATTGCCCAGGAAATCCTCAATTACATTTCTAACACCTTTTTCAGTACTTTTATTAATAGAAATGTCTCATATTTAATATCGTAAAACTAATTTTAAATGATGGCTTTGGGGAAGAGACTAATATTCTCATAAAGGCTAACCAGATTTTTATTATAGACTTACTTTTGAAACGTATTTGTTATTATAATAAAAATAACTATTAAACCCTAACTTGATAGCTTATTCTATGAAATTATTAAAACCATTTCATCATACCCACACAGTTATACCCAATGATTAAAATAATACAGATGTGAATAGAGTACAAAAATCAAAGTTTGTCATAGCCAGGATGGCGGCTAACAGATTAAGTGTGGGTCAAAGTGGTCTATTGTTCTTATGACTGAGTTTTTTTGTTTTTTTGTTTTTTTTGGCACGCGGGCCTCTCGCTGTTGTGGCCTCTCCCGTTGCGGAGTACAGGCTCCGGACGCGCAGGCTCAGCGGCCATGGCTCACGGGCCCGGCCGCTCCGCAGCATGTGGGAGCTTCCCGGACCGGGGCACGAACCCGTGTCCCCTGCATCAGCAGGCGGACTCTCAACCACTCCGCCACCAGGGAAGCCCATTTACTGAGTATTTTTAAAAGGTATTTTTACTCTGATCAAGTCACATGGAATCGAAATGACTACATCAGGATGCACCCTGTGGCACTGCGGCTGCAGCAAAAAGCCTGTTTAAAAATAGCTGTGTCAACATGGCCAGCTACGTGTACTCTGCTGATTCAGGATATATAGAATGTACATTTATACATAAGGAGGAAGCCCCTCCATCCTATTTTTCTCCCATTATATGCCATGTTGTTTTCTCTAGCCTTGATGCATGCCCTGGTGTTTGGAAACGTGACGGCGATCATACAGAGGATGTATTCCAGGTGGTCCCTCTATCACACTAGAACCAAGGATCTGAAGGACTTCATACGTGTCCATCACCTGCCCCAGCAGCTCAAGCAGAGGATGCTTGAATATTTCCAAACAACCTGGTCAGTCAACAATGGAATAGATTCCAATGAGGTAATGTGCATTTCTCATGTTGACGTTTTCAGGCAGAAAGCACGTATTCTAAGGTAAAAGCAAAGTGCTCTAATGCAGGTCTCAAAAGGGAAATACACACCTACCACCTTCTTTATCTCTTTATTTTTAATCTCTCATGACCTCAATACATCTTCTTTCATCTGCTCTGGCTTATGTTTTTCCAATGTCACTTTGGATTGGCCTGTGTTTTACAGTAACTTGCTACTTTGGTCATTCGGGCAGACTTATTTTCATTCTCATTGACCCTCTTTGAAGGAACCAATTCTTATGACAGTTGAATGATGGAATCATGGAATATTAGATTAATCAAGTTAATGTTTACCTTTAAAAGCAACAAAGTAAAAAAAAAAAAAAGGCTTTTCAGCAAACATGTTATCTTTGGACATCCAGAAACACCGCAGACCACCACTGTAGAAAAGGTATCCTATAAGTCAAGCAACCATTCCACCAACCCCCCAACGAAACTAGTCATCAATATTCTTAAGTAATTATTTGTTTTTTCCTCCCTTCAGATGGTCATGACAGCAGAGGAAACACTAAAGGGTCCAAATTCCATATCTTCTGTCCTGAGTAGGCATCTTTGTGAGAAGCAAGTCACAAGGAACTATATGTTTCATTCTAGAGTCTTTTATTAATTTATTCTATTGCTCCAGACTTATTAACAGCTGATTATTTAGGAGCACACAACCAGGGTCACAGTCATGGAAAAACCTCTCCAGGATTATTCATATGTATATTTCCTCTTCTGTACTGTGGCTGGTCAAACAGTGGGAAAAACTTCCTGTGGTCTTATAGTCAATCAATTACGCAAGACTGACCCCAACTTGCTTCCCTCTTTCATCTTCTCTGACAGCTTTTGAAAGACTTTCCAGATGAGCTTCGTTCTGACATCACCATGCACCTGAACAAGGAAATCTTACAGTTGTCCCTTTTTGAGTGTGCCAGCCGGGGCTGCCTCAGGTCTCTGTCCCTACACATCAAAACCTCCTTCTGTGCTCCAGGGGAGTATCTGCTGCGTCAGGGAGATGCTTTGCAGGCTATCTACTTTGTATGCTCGGGCTCCATGGAAGTTCTTAAAGACAGCATGGTGCTGGCGATTCTTGGTATGTCTGAGTTGAAAAGCTTCATGAAATTTTACTCTGGAGCATAAATTAAGGAGATGAAATGGGGGGAAAAACTGTGATTGAGAGAAGGAAAATTAGGGATGAATATGTGGATTCAGATATGGGTTTAATTTGCCAAATTATTATTATTAGTTTTTATTATTAATTAATTGTTATGCCATATATTGAGTTTACACTGTGCTAAGTGTTATATCCAACACATGTTTTGATTCTTGTTAAAAATCCAGTGGTATAAATATTATCCCTACTTTACAAGTGAATATATAGTATCTTAGTTAACTTAATTTGTCCCAAATAACATAGCAAGAGAATGAACACAGTTCTTTCTGATTCCTAAAGCCAGATTATAAATTATGATATAGTCTGCCTCTTGGTGAGACAGCTGGTCAGTTTTCAGAGGGCATTTCTGCCTTTTCGTGGAGAATCAATTCAGAGAAGAACATTGAAAATTGTTTTATCTGTGCTAGAAATTGAACAAAAAATGATTTCGTATTGAGAATAAGCTCTCGTAGCAATCATAGCAATCATTAACTCAATTCTGTCAAGGTGATGATAGGCTCTTTTCACTCCCTCAAAAATTCATAGGACAATTTGTGAATATTTTGTACCACAAAGTTGACTCCAACTATTAAGACATAATTGGTGTTCATTGAAATGTAAATGTCAGCTGAGAAAAGGTGACATGCAGGGTTAATGTAGAAAAATTGCTATCTGCAATTTTATGTGTTCCTCTTTTAAAAATCACTTTCATTTGTTTCTTTATCTGTTTGTTCATTTATTTATTCAACTATTATTTCTTGAGGGCCTACGAATAAATTAGGTACTGGTCTAAACGATATATTTGAACACCAGTGTAGAATGATAATGTTTAGAGTTTGTGTTAATTAAAAGTGGCTAATGCAGCACTTTTCATTTATTTTTAATTTTCATATTTAAGAACCTAATATCTGTGGACAACCCAACCCTTTACAAAGTATTTTCACATGTGGGACCTTAGTTACATTTTCCTAACACAAAGAGACAGATAAGAGAGGTATTTTCTCATTTTTCCAAAGTCAAAGCTAACCTAGGTCTTCAGACTCTGCATCCAGTGTCCTTTCCACCTCTGAACAATGCCTTTTATTCTATATGATCATTGTTAAGTCTGCAGTCTCTGGATTTTAGCTAGTAAGCTTCAAGACAGGTTATATTTGGGAAGAGAGAAGAGAACTAATATTGATTGATTCCCTAATGTGAGCTGGGTGTTGTATGTCCATTATCCAGTTCAAATCTTGCAACCCTATTAGGTTGCTATGATTATCCCCAGTTAGAGGTGCAGAGATGGGGGCAGCGAGGGGTAAAATACCAAATGGAAGAATGCTTTCCATTGCTTCCAATTGACTTCAGTTTACCACATCCCAGAGGAAAGATAGGGCTTGGCTTCCAAAGTTTGGGCTCAGTTCTTGATTCACTCCCTTATGTTTTTCTCCTTAATAGAAAGGCATGGAAGAGCAACTAAAAGAGTGTATTTATCCTCAGTGTGGCCAGCTCATTATCAGTGGGACAGTGAGACTCTGTACGTGTGTGTTTTTCAAGAGGAGGATTTAACACTCTTCCTGCCCACTTCTCAACTCTATGAAGTTAAAGACCAGTCATTCTATCATTTTTTATTCAAAATTAAAAGTGACAATCATTTCTAAATTTGCTTCAAAAACCTTTCTTTACCTGTGGGCTTCCTTAGTACCACTATCAGTTTTATAGTCTGTCCATTGGCACAGTCTGCTTTTAAAAGGGCATTTAGTGCCATTTACAGCAACATGGATGGACCTAGAGATTGTCATACTGATTAAAGTAAGTCAGACAAAGACAAATATATGATATCGCTTATATGCGGAAACTCAAAAAATGGTACAAATGAACTTATTTACAAAACAGAAATAGAGTCACAGATGTAGAAAGCAAATTTATGGTTACCAAGAGGGAAAGGTGGTGGAGGGATAAATTGGGAGATTGGGATTGACATATACACACTACTATATATAAAATAGATAACTAATAACCTACTGTATAGCACGGGGAACTGTACTCAATACTCTGTGATGACCTATATGGGAATAGAATCTAAAGAGTGGATATATGTATATGTATAACTGATTCACTTTTCCATACAGCAGAAACTAACACAACATTGTAAATTAACTATACTCCCATAAAATTTAATTTAAAATAAAATAAATAAAATTAAAGGGTGTTTAGTTATTTTTCTAGCAGCTTATGGTTTGATATACATGTAAGCAAATTAATGCACTATTTTTACATGTATATAATGTGGGTTTTTCCATAATTGTGGTGAATTTTTAAATTTGGTAACTAGCAACAGTTCTAGGAATGGAATACGAAGGCATCATCCCTGATACTATGTCACGATAGGTACAAATTTGGTGGCTTGTGTGTAAATACTATTGTTTGTAATACACAATTCCATCGGATTTTCTTATTTTATTTTATTTTTTTTAATTAATTAATTAATTTTTTTTTTGCGTTATGCGGGCCTCTCACTGTTGTGCCCTCTCCCGTTGCGGAGCACAGGCTCCGGACGCACAGGCTCAGCGGCCATGGCTCACGGGCCCAGCCGCTCCGCGGCATGTGGGATCTTCCTGGACCGGGGCACGAACCCGTGTCCCCTGCATCGGCAGGCAGACTCTCAACCACTGCGCCACCAGGGAAGACCCCGGATTTTCTTATGTTAAAAAAATTCTACTAACAACTAAAAGACTTAGTTCATTGCCTTGTGCTTCTGGCCCGCATTTCCTACATAAATTGAGCTTCCCGTAATTAACGTTTTCCCATCTTTCCTGCTACCATATATCTCTCAAAAATGCACGTGACCATTCGAAACACGCCTATGTTATATTGGGACTAAACCCAAAGATAATACGTAATATTTTCTCTCTGTGGTTAGCATTATTTCAACGGAGACTGACTATTTTACTTCCCCTACGGTAATATTATCTTATGGGCCAATTTAAATCAATACTGACTTTGATAAACTTAAGCACATGGCTTAAAATATAGATATTTAGTACATGTTCACTCTGCCAACAAAATAATTAATACATAATGTCGTAGGGGAAAAGTATCACCAAACAGCTGTCAAGCCATAATTTATTCAAACAATCCCGTCATCCTATCAATTCTTGAAGGCGTTCTTAATCTGATGCTTTTCGGGGAGGCAGTTGACACAGAGGCAGGGATTTTTCCAGGGATAGAATTTGTCTGCCTTATACACATTCATTTCATGTCCTGGTAATTGAACACTTTCTTCATTGTGGTTTAAAAGAAGATGACAAAGCACAGATAAATGCACTCTTCACAGATGGCATTAGTCTGCCTAATTATAATTAAACATAAGTTATAGCTCTAACCAGGATGGTTTGCACATGCATCCCATCAACGTTTTTTTTGCCCAATGGAAGAATAATGATTAGCAAATATCAGTAATGGAATTCTGAATAATAGAGACTCTAAGGGATCATAAATATCTTCTTTTCTTTTAGAAATAAAGATACTGAAACCCAGTGTAATTAAGAAACTTAGATATAGGCTCTAAATCTAGGTAGGGAGTAATCCACAAAATCGTAAAATGAGTGAGGGTGATGACCAGGCTTCACCTGAGGTCTGGCACACATGTCAGTGGTCCATAATTATCCATTGAATAAATAAATAAACTAGAATTCTTTCTAGGATGCCAAGTTTAGCAAGATGCTGGGGTCATTGTGGCCAAAATCACCAGGTATGAAAGTATGATGACCCTAACGTTTTTCCAAACACCAGTTGCTTCACAGAATATGTGAATTCTCACCGCGGCAACATGGTGCCTCATGGTAAATTCTCCTCAGATATACAAAATTTGAAAATCTGCTGTATTCAGTCCACCCTGGCTATATTTACATCTTGCATCAGTATCCAACTTTGAGTTTTTGAGCGGCAATTTAGATTTCTAAGAAAACGTGCAAGAAAAACAATTTCCAAGTTTAGCAGGACTGGTGACAACAGTAAATCAAACTTGAGTTCTTCAACACTATGTGGCTGTTTCTTGTCTTAGTGTCTATAAATATAGATTTTTTTTCTTCTGCCAAATGGGCTCAATTTCAAGGTTTTAATTCAAAGATAACACCTAGAATAATTTAAAATGTTTTGATCTGGCACAAATATTTATGAATATCTCAGGTATTCATGGTTGATGTGGCCCATCTCCTTTTACTGTCAAATTCAATAAAACAGACTTTTATGGAAGCCTGTTGCATGCCAGAGACTTTGCTTCCAGAAATGCTGGGCACAGTAAAACATAAAAGTTTCAAAGTTAAAAAAATTAATTGAATGAAGAATGGACGGGGCAATTTGTTCTATAACATTCCAAAGATATTATTTGCTTGGTGGTTTTTGGTGGGTCAATTAGTGGTTGTTGGTTCCCTGTGAAATGAAACAGAGCGGCCATAAAAATATATAAATAAATAAAAGTTATTTTATTTATTTATAGGCATGATGATATTTGAGGACAAAGCAAAGACGAAGTAGAAACTCCTAAGTGGGAGCCTTGAATCCAATGCCAGCATCCTTTGTGAACTTGGTCATATTACCTCAGCTTTTAACCTAAGTCTGTCTGAGAATTGAATGGATTTTCTTGCAGATTTCTCACATGGACGCTGAGTGAATGAATGGCTCTGTCTAAAACAAAACTGAAGCTGCAATCAGCTCTTTGTTAGTAATTACAATTATGCTCACCCTCCTGCCAGGTTAAACTGATTTGAATCAATTTTAAGATTTTAAAGATTCAAATGACTTGTCCAATATTATCTAATCAGCAAACTCGAGGAAGTAAGCTAGTTCCCAGACAGGTGAAGTGTAGCCTAAGACTGATCGACAGAGGTGTTAAAAAAGATCAGCGGTGCTGGCTGTGGGGTGGGACACAGAAAATGTGAATAAAGTAGTGTTAGATCATCTCTCCCCACAGTGGAAGAGCTCATAGTTTTTATTTATTCACTTTCTTTGTTGCTGGAGAAAATGGGATTTTTACACTGTCACAGAGCATTAAAACTATGACTTGTATCTTGCATTTCTCTGTAGTAGATTTCATGGTCTGTAATGCCCAGTAGTTGCCTCTGCCTCTCAACTCTCCTCCTCCATGCCCCGCCTCCTGTCTTGTAGACATGTTCAGAGATAAATAAAACAACCCAAGTATATTAGATGGTGATGTTTATATTACTGTCCAAAGTGCTAGAATCAAAATGATTAATATACCTCTTGATGGTCTAAACCTCAGAATCCTGGAGCATTTTTACAGTCAGAAAAACTGAGCCATTATTATTTCCCTGGAATGGTTAAAGCAACGGTGACGAAAAATGTCAACTGCTTTGTCTAAAGTCATTTACCAAATCCTGTGAGGGACCTGTCTGGAGCCCATGTATGACCTACAGTTCCTAATTCTCGGGCTCCTAGGCTTTATTCTCTAGACCAGTTTTCTCAACTGGGGACAGTTTCGATTGCCAAGGCGCATTAGGCAATGCCTGCAGGTATTTTGGGTGTCATCTCTGGGGGTGGATGATGTGAGATGCTACTAAACATTCTACCCTGTACGGAATACTCCCCCTGCCAGCAGAGAATGATGAGGCCCCAAATCTCAACCCTGCTGAGGCTGAGAAACCCTGCCCCAGATAAAGGTTCCTCTTCTCTTTCAGTGTAATTTCAGAGAAATGAAGCCTGTAAATCACACAAAGTTACCAGTCCCAAGCTTGCTTTTCATTAAAGCTACATGTCTCTTTTTTTCACTGTTTCAAGGGAAAGGAGATTTAATTGGAGCCAATCTATCAATTAAGGACCAAGTGATCAAGACCAATGCGGATGTGAAGGCGCTAACCTACTGTGATCTTCAGTGCATCATCCTCAAAGGACTCTTCGAAGTGCTGGACCTTTACCCAGAATATGCTCACAAATTTGTGGAAGACATTCAGCATGACCTCACATACAACCTTCGAGAAGGTCACGAGAGTGATGTAAGTCTCGCTTCTAATTAGTGCTGAGACCCAAACACATGGGGCCTGGAGATCATTTATAACAGGAAAGGCACATGTCCTGACCTCACTTCAAAAAGTCTCTGAGCAGATAAGGTAGGACTGTTCAGTTACTAATTGAGCAGTTAGATAATTAGCTACAAGTCAAACCTGGAGCTTGTTATCAACATTTTAGGAAAGTATTATTTACGGATGACTTCTCTTAATTCAGTTTCTTTCTTTTTTATTTTCGTGTGCTTATAGCCAGAATCAATTTCAGGGACATATAATATTCAGCTAGAGATGTGTGACTTCTCCCGAACTGAAAGATTTCTGGATAGAGTATGTGGTGCAGAGTTTGCTGTGTGTGTAATTATTCACTACTCCACTGGCTTGACATACATTTTGCTTAAGAATATCTTTTTATTTGTTAACCGGTACTCAAAACAGCCTATCTTAAAATGACTAAAAATGCACGGAAGGATTCAAGCCAAAGATTGTCACGCTGAAAGCATAATGAACATTTTCTGAAATTATATATTTGCCGCATGTTTCAGTTTATACAAACAGCTTTCCTGTCAAAATATGTACCAGACTGCATCCCGTGATTAAGCTGCTCATGAACATGACTTCATTAGATGTGTCAGAGAGACCAATGATTTAATAGGGATGATTGTTGAAAGGCAAACCAGAGCACGTACGCAGAGCATTCTCTATGAACAGAAGCCTTGATCTGCTGCCTTGAGCTGCCCCAGATATCTGCTATACTCGATTTTTTCCCTAAGGGTTTAAGAAACGAAGCTCTTGTTTTGACTAACACACTTGTGGGGACATTTTGTTCGTCATCAGTATTCTCCACTTGAAAGGTAAAGAATGAACCCAAATTGCGTATGACTTCATCTTGGTGGAGGATATCAAATGGCAGACAGTATGCAAATGGTATCCCTTTCTGACGTTCAAGATTACCACTCTTGAATGTGTGCTTCTCTCCGTTGGTGATGACAAGCAGCAGAGGAGGTATCGATATTTATTGCAAACTTACTTGTGCTAAATACTCTGCCTGTGTAAAACGTCTCATTTAGTGCTTAAAGCCACGGTTGAAGGTGAGTGTCAACTAGGTTTTACAGGACAGGAGGCAGATGCAGAATGGTTAAGTAACGTGTGTGAGGTCACACAAACTTGTAGGTGGCAGGGACAGAGTATGGGCACAGGGGTCTGTCATTTTAAAATCTGTAAACTCATAGTTATGTTGTCTCTTATTTATTTACTTATTTATTTTTGGCTGCGTTGGGTTTTCGTTGCTGCGCACGGGCTTTCTCTAGTTGTGCCGAGCGGGGGCAACTCTTCGCTGCGGTGCACGGGCTTCTCGTTGCGGTAGCTTCTCTTGTTGTGGAGCACGGGCTCTAGGCGCGCCAGCTTCAGTGGTTGCAGCACATGGGCTCAGTAGTTGTGACTCATGGGCTTAGTTGCTCCGCGGCATGTGAGATCTTCCCGGACCAAGGCTCAAACCCGTGTCCCCTGCATTGGCAGGCGGATTCTTAACCGCTGCGCCACCAGGGAAGTCCCCTGTTGTCTCTTCTTCTTGAAGACACTCATCTTGTCTTCCCTTTCAATAAATCGAGGTCTACGACTAAAGTTGCCTTTTGTGCTCTCCACGACAGTGTAATGTGACAACTATTTTTGAAGAGTGGAGGTGAGTTAGGGCATCAAAGTCACCAAAAAGAGAAAAAGAAATGAGGGAAGAGAGGAAGAGCCACCATTCCTCAGCATAGACAAATGGAAAATATGGGATCTCAACCCCTAGTTTCTTCTTAGTTGGTTACTTTTAAGGATTCTTACCTTTAATCCATTTTTTATCTTCTTCTTCTCTTTGCTGAAACATTAATCATAGTGATTTTAAAACTCCAATGTCTGAATTGCCAATGAGACTATTTTCGTTATCTGTTATTTCTCCTGTGTGTGGTTTTTTTTGTTTGTTTTCTTTTTGGTTATTTGGCCCCCACCCCTCTTTTTAACAGATATCATGATTTTGCTTCATTGTAGATGTTGTTTATGAAAAAGTGTTCACCTTCTTTCCCTCCAGATAGGGTTATAGTTTCTCTTGGCAGGCAGCTAGAGTACCAGCAAATCACTTTCATCCTGCTCACCGTTCCTCTTCATCTTTGTTAGGCTGATCTGTTTCAGTTTTGCCCTTACTCTGGTGCTATAGCTCTCACTCCTAAGTGAGACATGATTTTTTTCAGGATCTCAGCTAAAATCCTTGGATGTTCACCAAGGCTCCTCCAATTTGGCAGGCCTTGAATTCCAGCCTGCATCTCCTGAGCATCACATGGTTATGGAAATCATCTGGTTTCTTGGAGCACCACCCTGTGTAGGCTCAAATGGGGAGCTGGCTGATGCCTCAAGGGCCCCATTGATGCAGTTCCCTCCTCTCTGGGGTTTATTCATCAAATCCCAGGTGGTTTGGTACACCTAAACGTCCTCGTCCAGGAAGACTGTTCCTTTCTCTTACACCTCACGCTGAAACAGCCGATTCTCTCAGGAAAACATCTGGATAAACATGGTCCTCACCCTGATGGACTTCCCTTTTCCCAGGCAACACAGCCCTTCAAGTCTGACGTACGTTGCTTGCTCTCCAGTGCTTTCAAACAGTTATTTTATATATTTTGTCCAGATGTATAATTATTTTTTAGTTCAATGTAAGCTCTTTCATTGTGGCTGAAACCAAAAGTCTTGCTTCTTTACAGAGGACTCCTTCTAAGTTACACTTTAAGGGCTAATGGGAACTGGCACTTACCTCTGAGACCCTTATCGTTTTATATTTTGTGTTTCCTCATCTTGTATCACTCAGAAGTTCTATTTACAGTATATCCAAGATCCTGGGGTGCTATACCTTCTAAAGGTAAATTTGGACCACCCTGACCCATAATTTCATACCCCGGGGGAGAAGTCTTGTGCTGTTTCCAAGGATACTATGACTTTGGGGGGAGCTTCTATTCTGACGATTACCTATGGTCATGGATTCCTACTCTCTGCTCTGCAACTCTGGTGTAAGACCAGAGTGGAACCCAGCCCCCTCCTTAATTCCCACACACGTGCAAACAAAACTATCCAATCACACAGGGTTTCTGATGGGTTGAAGCCTGTGTGAAAGGTTGGTCAATGAGTTCTAGAAGGAGGAACATTTGCATGATGGAAATGCAAACAGTATAAATGTGACTTCACTCTATATCCTTAATCTTAAAACTCCTGTGGCCTCCCTGCCCCATTGTTCAGCCCTTTATTCTTGCTCTCACCTCCTCTCCTCTCTTCATCCTCTCCCTTCATCCACAAATTCCCCATTGTTTCTGACACATATTAGCTTAACTCTCTCTGTTTGATTGCCTTGTGTCTTTCTAATTTTCCCTTCTGAATATCACCTTCTATCCCAAGTAGCTTATAAACTATCAGGTGACAGAACGTTACCAGAACATCTGGATAAAGAGGAGACTGATCATCAACCCATTTTGAAATAAAATAAAATAAAAACCCATTTGAAATAAAGACCAAAGAAGCATTTTAAGAAATAGTCAAAAGGTATGCATGTAAGAGCAAGCTGTGACTCTAGAACTCTGATAAATTACGTAACTTTAGAATAGCAGCTCATCCAATTCCCACAGGAAAACTAATTAAAATGTGTAAAATATTTTCTAAGTTTGTGAAAAGGCTAGCTAGTACTGTTTCGATCTCCTGCTAATTAGGAGTTTTATGCACTCAGTGTATTCTCTGTGTTTGCCCTTATTTATATCTCCTGGATGACCCCAATAATGACATAGATTAATTTAGCTATTTCTGTTTATGGAGATGCTAAGAAATTTGCTTCACAGCTTCTCATGGTAAACCCTATAAAATTGATTCTAGCACAGACCCATCTGTTGTTGGTTGTGAAATTTAGTTTGCCTTAACATAAGAATTTTGAATTTGAGATAAATAGTGATGGAAGAGTATCTAAAATATGTTTTCAAACATTAATAGTGCTAAAACACTGGAGATCAGCTATTGCTATGGCTGTGTGTAGATATGCTCTGGGTTTGCACATTGTGGACTCTGACTTGGTGGTGAGGTTGTGAAGCAGCAGATGGCAATGGTTGTCGGAAAAAGGTGATAAATTCTCCGGTTTTACCTTAACAGGGGTTACTCGATGAAACCTATTAACTTTTTTTTGTCATTTTTTTTACTGAAGTATAGTTGATTTACAGTGTTTCAAGTATACAGCAAAGTGATTCAGTTATACATTTATATATGCATTCTTTTTCAGATTATTTTCCATTACAGGTTATGTACAAAATATTGAGTATAGTTCCCTGTGCTCTACAGTAGGCCTTGTTTATCTATTTTGTATATAATAGTGTGTATATGTTAATCCCAAACCCCTAATTTATCCCTCCTCCCTTTCCCCTTTGGTAACCATAGTTTGTTTTCTGTGTCTGTGAGTCTGTTTCTATTTTGTAAATAAATTCATTTGTATCATTTTTTAGATTCCACATACAAATGATTTCATATGATATTTGTCTTTATCTAATTTACTTCATTTAGTATGATAATCTCTAAGTTCATCCATGTTGCTGCAAATGGCATTATTTCGTTCTTTTTTATGGCTGAGTAATATTCCATTGTGTATATGTACCACATCTTCTTTATCCATTTTTCTGTTGATGGACATTTAGGTTGCTTCCATGTCTTGGCTATGGTAAATAGTACTGCTATAAACATTGGGGTGCATGTATTTTTTTGAGTTAGAGTTTTCATCCTTTCCGGATATATTCCCAGGAGTGGGATAGCTGAACTGTATTGCAACTCTGTTTTTAAAGGAACCTCCCTACTGTTCTCCACAGTGGCTGCACCAATTTACATTCCCACCAACAGTGTAGGAGGGTTCCATTTTCTCCACACCCTCTCCAGCATTTATTATTTGTAGGCTTTTTGATGATAGCCATTCTGACCAGTGTGAGGTAAAACCTCTT